TGTGCTTCTAAGTCAAGGATGACTGCTAGATAAATAAATATGGCCATTCATGGGTGAGAACTGGGTACTTGAGTACATCCATAGCTGGTGATGAGCCTTCTTAGAATTAGAGAACTTCCCCAACCTGGAGTCTTGTAATCTAAGACTGGACAGCCATTTGTCTGAAATGGTATAGAGTTTCCTGCCTGAGCAGGGGGTTGGACTAGAAGACCTCCAAGGGGGTTGGACTAGAAGACCTCCAAGGTCCCTTCCAATTATGTTATTCTGCTGTACTTTTTTCCTTCCTCCCTCCCTCATCACTGGAGCTTTTCAAGAAGAGATTGAACAACCATTTGTCTGAAATGGTATAGAGTTTCCTGCTTGAGCAGGGGGTTGGACTAGATGACCTCCAAGGTCCCTTCCAACTACTACTACTACTACTTATTATTGTTGTTGTTGTTGTTGTTGTTATTATTATTATTATTATTATTATTATCATCATCCAGGGGTCCCCAAACCCCGGTCCATGGACCAGTACTGGGCCGCGGCATGCCAGCAACCGGTCCGCACAAACAAGCAAAGCCCCATCCATGGGATGCAGGCAGCACACAAAACCACACACTCTCTGGTCCGTGGAAAAACCTCTCTCCACGGAACCGGTCCCTGGTGCCCAAAAGGTTGGGGGGGGGGGCTCTGTTCTAATCAGTTTGGGCCCTGAGTCCCATCACGCTCTATTGCAGAGGTCTCCAATAACTTGGCCACTTTAAGACTTGTGGACTTCAGCTCCCAGAATTCCCCAGCCGGTTGTGTGGCTTGCTGGCTGAGGGATTCTGGGAGTTGAAGTCCACAGGTCTTAGGGTGGCCAGGTCTGGGGACCTCTGCTCTGCTGGCATAAATGGCAATTATGGCTGCAAAAGTCCCACATCTATGAAAAACATCTGGATGGGGGAAAAAAGCAGATCTGTTTAATGCCTGGAAGCTTTCTGGAGTACAGACCAGATGTCGTGGTATTTGGCAATGACCTTGAGAAATTGGGTGGACACATGCTGCCTAGGGAAGGGTCAGATAAGAGGCCTCAGCCTCAATGGAAGAGACCTGGGAGGTCATCTAGTCCAACCCCCTGCTCTAGAAAGAAATCTCAGCATCAGCAAGCAGACTTTAGTTCAGTTGCGGTACCTTAATTTTAATCGTTAAAATTAAAATGTTAGGGATGAAGCAATGTCTGACTTGGTACAAGGTGGTCCTCGACTTAACAACTGCGATGGTGCCCAAATTTTCTGCGGCTCAGCGAAAGCGCTAAGTGAGTTTTGCCCCATTTCACGACCTTTCTTGCTGCCACAGTTGTTAAATGAGCCATTGCAATTGTTAATTTAGTAACACGGTCGTTAAGCGAATCTGGTTTCCCCATGGATTTTGCTTGTCAGAAGGTCGCAAAAGAGGGTCACGTGACCCCGGGGCACCCTGGCCCTCGTCGTCGTGAGCCAGTTGCCAAGCGTCCGAATTTTGATCACGCGAACCTGGGCCATTGCAACCGTCAGAAGTACATGCCTGTTGCCAAGCGTCTGGATTTTTGATCACGTGACCACGGGGTCATCAAGTGTGAGAAAGGATCGTGCCGTTGTAACTTCGGACGAATAGTTGCTAAGGACTGTCCGTACTTCCTCTTTCTCTTCCTGAGTGATGATTCTGTCTCTTCCCCCAGTCAGGATTTGGGGTGCCCACCCTGCTACCTCCAGATCTTTCATGGCGCTGAAGGCGGAGACCCCCTTGACGGACTACTCCGAGGTCTCCTCGGCCATCTCCCGCTTCAAGGAGAAGGAGAAGTTGGCTGCTGATTCCCGGATCCTCCACCGCCCCTCGGCGAAGCAGGATGGAGCCCTTGTAAACCCCGTGGGCAAAGGTGGGACGCTTTTCTCACAACCAGTGTGTGTGGGCGGGTGGCACTGGGAAAGCAGTGGGAACGGGGGTGGGCAGAGACAAGGCGGTGGACAACAACTTTACAAGCACCGGAGACTCTTAAGAATGGAAGATCCAAAATGAAGGATAAATTTAGCCTTAGGGCAAGGTTGTAAAGCCCTGGTGTGTGTCTTGTGATTCTTCGACAAGAAGAAATATTGCAAGGGTTGGCTCAAATGTTCTTACTGTGCCTGCTATTTTTGCTTATTTGTTTATATCCCACCGTTCCTATTTTCTTGTCTTCCGCCTCCTATTTTCCCTAAAACAACAGCCTTGTGAGGCAGGTTGGGCTGAAAGAGGGGCTGGCCCAAAGTCACTCAGTCAGCTTTCATGGCTAAGGAGGGACTAGAACTCATTGATTGACCCAAAGTCACCCAGCCAATGTTCATGCCGATGGTGGAACTAGAACTCACTGTCTCCTGGTGATTGGCCCAAAATCACCCAGCCAACTTTCCTGGCTAAGGTGGAACTAGAACTCACCGTCTCCTGGTGATTGGCCCAAAGTCACCCAACTGACTTTCATGGCTAAGGAGGGACTAGAACTCACCGTGTCCTGGTGATAGACCCAGCCACTTTTCATGCCAATGGTGAGACTAGAACTCACCGTCTCCTGGTGATTGGCCCAAAATCACCCAGCCGACAATCCTGGCTAAGGGGGAACTAGAACTCACTGTCTCCTGGTGATTGACTCAGCCACTTTTCATGCCAGTGGTGAGACTAGAACTCACCATCTCCTGATCATTGGCCCAAAATCACCCAGCCAGCTTCCACGGCTAAGATAGGACTAGAACTCACCGTCTCCTGGGTTTTATCACAGACCGGGCTTTTTCCTAGCTTTCACGCTGGCTGGGGAACTCCGGAAATCTCAGAGGATCTTCTGATGCTTAGCGAAACAAATGTGAGTTGTAGAACTTCCTCTAGGCCGGCCTTCCTTTTCTTGAAAACCTCGTTTTCCCCGCAGGAAAACACCCAGTTTCGGAGTCTGCCGGCCGGGAAGAGCTCGCGATCTCCTGGAAGCAGGAATATTTGGTGGCCGAGAATCCGGACGACGGACGGCTGGTGTGCATGGTGTGCGGAGGCCTTTTGGTCAACTCCGGCCCGGCGGCAGCCCGCCAACACATCCTGCAACAACATGCCCACTCGCTGGACTTCACGCTGGAGGAGAAACACAACATCCTGGAGGGCTGGAGCGAAGGGGCCGTCCTGCCCGAAATAGAGTCACCCCCTTCCTCTGCAGGTAATCCTCTCCCTGCTCTGCGGCCACTGCTGGTGCTGTTGTTGTTGTTGCGATGCCCTCACGGGCAGGGACAGCCAACGAGGCGGTGCCTGACGCTGCCCTGGCGGATTCTGATTGGCTTTCTGGCCCTTCCCACCCCAGGCGGTCCTGGCGAGAACCAGCAGCCTGCCGAGATCGAAGTCCTCCTTGATTTGGAGGAACAGCCCGTGAGCCGGAAGCGCGGGCCCGTCCCAGCACGCTGCGGTGAGTGCTAGGCCACGGAGAGGGCAGGAGCTGCCTAGAGCGTCCTTTTCAGACCCCAGGCGGTCCTCGGCTTACGACTTAACGGCTGACATTTCCGCGGCTGAGCAAGGGGGTCGTTGAGTCGGGCAAACGGAGTCCGTTGCCTATTTTATGATTTTATTTTATTTTATTTTCTTGGCCAAATCGCTGCATTCGTTCAGCGACTCGTGCAGTCATTAAGCGAATCCAGTTTCTTCCCCCCCCCCCCGCCCCGTTGAATTTGCTTAATCAAAAGCTGGACTGGGAAGGTGGCCAATTACCATCTACGGTTGTAGGTGCGAGGACCCATTGTAAATCACTTTTTTTCCATCTTCAAACCAGTCACTAAAGGGATAGTCGTAAGTCGAGGGCTGCTGGCGTTCTTTAAAAAGGTCTCATCTCCTGGGAAGTGAGTGTTTTCAAACCAGCTGCACCCAGTCTTGTGAACAGTCACACTCCCAGTCCCGGGAACTCTTGTTGTGAGTGTGCTAGTGACATTCCTAATACCCTTGAGCTGGTCTAAAAAGGCAGATCAGACCTCCCTCTTCCTCCGTGGCTGTCAAGGACGGGGGCCTGCCTAACGCTCCTCGGGGATAATGTCCCAGCATCCTTTGCTATAGGCCAAGCTCTCGGGGGGGGGGGGCTTCTGGGATCTGTGGTTCACCAGCTGGAGAACCTCACGTTCCCTCCTGCTCTAACCAGGTTGGTGCAAGACATCCACTCGGTTAAAAGCAGGTAGTGCTCGACTTACGACCACAATTGAGCCCCAAATAAGTCTTCTGCTAAGTCGTCAAGTGAGATCTGCCCCATTTTACGACCTTTCCTAGCACAGTCGCTAAGCGGATCGCTGCATCCGTTGAGTTAGTAACGCCGTCATTAAGCGAATCCGGCTTCCCCATTCACTTTGCCTGCTGGAAGGTCGCCAAAGGGGATCATGTGACCCCGGGACCGTCGTAAATCTGAATCCGTTTCCAAGCCTCTGAATTTTCCGATCACGTGAGCATGGGGCCGCGGCAAGAGTTGTGTCAGAAGCGGTCCTAAGTCGCTTCTTTCAGCAGCCTAACTTCACACGGCCGCTAAACCAACCGTTGTAAGTCGAGGACTGCCTCTGCAATCTTTAACCCCACTTAGCAAAGCCACGAAAAATCTCTTTGTAAGTGTCTTGTGTCAAGGCCGGCGCTGCTGCTGCTTCCTAACCGTGTCTGAGCTGTTGTGGGTCTCTGTTCTCCTTTGTCGTGAAAAGAAGCCATATTTGGGTCCCTGTTCCTCACAAAACTGTGCGACCCCATTCAAGACCCACAATTGAAGCGGTGTGCTTTTCTCCTCTTTTTTTCTCTTCCCAGCAGAGAGTTCGCACTTAGACGCGGAAAGGCGGCTTCCCGTTCGACAGAGGCCACCGGCCAAGGATCCGAGGGGTCAGGAGCCCATCAAGGCCGCAGGTAACACGGCGTCGCCTCGGAACCGGTTTTCGACGGTAGCTTTTGGGCCCTTACCTCTCTGGCTCCCCCCCCCTTTTGTCTGCTGGGCTCCGTTTTAATGCCCAAACGAACCATTTGTCCAACAAATTCAGATTGTCTTTCCTCCAGCCTTCAAAAACTCAAGTTTCTAGCCCTTATGAAAGCAAAGGGAACCTTGAAAGCTGGCCAAGGTTTTTTTTGGGGGGGGGGGAGGGTGGATTTTGATTCTATAGAGATGGGCAGTTTTGGACTTGATCAGAAACGGACGTTTGCTTGTTTGCTGAGCTTTCGGCGAAAGACGTTGCGTAAGATGTGAATGCTCCAAGGCGGGAAGTTTTTAAGAAGAGACTGGACAGCCACTTGTCTGAAATGGTGTAGGTTCTCCTGCTTGAGCAGGGGGCTGGACTAGAAGATCTCTAAGGTCCCTTCCAGCTCTATTCTATTCTATTCTTTCCATTGCATTCTATATTTCCTTATTCTATTCTATTCTATTCTATTCTATTATTCTATTCTATTATTTAATCTATTCTATTCTATTCTATTATTATTCTATTCTAGATAGTGTGGGCAAAATAGAGGCTTGGGTGTTCCTTTACAAAATGTGTGTCAGTCGCACAATTTGATGGTGCTTCACACACAACTAGAGATGGGAAGGCCTGGAAAAAAAACGGGGGGGGGGAGCAAATTTATTTCTGTTTTTTTTTTTTCCAAACGGCTTTGGAAAAAATGGAGGGAAAAAAACTTTTCCCCAATTCCCCCCCCCCTTTTTCCCCCAGGCCTTCCCATCTCTACACTGAACTTAGCTTTCCTCTCTGTGTGCAGTTCACAAGACCCCTTTTCTGCATACTCCCTGCCTGTTTGGTGTTTCTAGTCCTCAAGGTTCTGGAAGGAAGCCATGAAAACAACCTTTGTTGACTTTTCTGTGGCTTGAAAATGCAGTCAGGACTTCAGTGAAATAGTAAACCTTTATAGGATCAGAACAGTGGGGGGGCAGGGGTCACGAGGCTTATAATTTTATTGATTATATTTACATCGTGCCGCTTCGGATGAAACATCTCCACCAGTCGACTGGGCTAGCGTCATTAGGAGCCCTTCCACTATTAGGGCTCTGTCGGCTTTTAGAGGTGTGAGAACCAGAATAAAATGTGTGTAGTTCTTCACACTTGTTTTGCTCTCTAGGAAAGGAGTGGCTTTCGGAATGCGGGCTTCCCGGTTCGGCCCCTGCAGAAATCCGGATTTTCACCGACGGCTCCTTCCCAGCGGGATTCACCCTGAAGCTGTACTGCCGTTCTCAGCCAGGTGGGTGGAAACTCAGAAGTGCTGAAAATCTTGTTTCTTTTAAAACTCTGGAAATATTGGCACGGTTCCAGCCTTGGCACAGATCACAAGGCTTTTATCTACAGCTGCTATGCCAGACCAAGGTCAGTCAGCTGCTCCACGCCCCAGTGTCTGCCCTCGTATCGTGGCAGTCCCACAGGGCCAATCTCTTCTATTTGGTTTTTTAAGTTTGAAAAGAGATTGTTTAGACGGCGTGGCTTGTTCCTGCCTCCTTTTTTCTGTTCCAGAGAATTCTTTTTCTTACCTCTGCTATGTTTTGTCCCGTTTTTTTCCTTGTTTTGCCCCCCGCCCTCAATCTGCTGAACCCCTAATTCTCTCAGGGGTGCCTAATGTCTATCAACCCATGTAGTGCGGCTGTTGTGTTATTATTTACCCTTCTTATTATGTTCTTTATTCTCCCTTTTAGTGGTATCGTTGTTATTATTATTGTTCTGTGGCTTTGCATGTACAGCAGTTGACTTAAAACAGCTCATTTAGTGACTGGTCAAAGCTACAACGTCACTGAAAAAAAGGGCCTTGTGACTGTTTTTCACACGATATTTGTGGGAGCCCCATGATTATGTGAAGAGACTGGACAGTCCCTTATAATAGTAGTAGTAGTAGTAGTAGTAGTAGTAGTAGTAGTAGTAGTAGTAGTAATAACAACAACAACAACAACAAAACAACAACAACAACAACAACAACAATAATAATAATAATAATAATAATAATAATAATAATAATAATAATAATGTTGGAAGGGACCTTGGAGGTCATCTAGTCCAACCCCCTGCTCAGGCAGGAAACCCTATACCATTTCGGACAAATAGCTGTCCAGTCTCTTCTTAAAAACCCTCCAGTGTTGGAGCATTCACCACTCCTTGTCTGAAATGCTATAGGGTCTCCTGCTTGAGCAGGGGGTTGGACTAGAAGACCTCCCAGGCCCCTTCCAGCTCTGTTCTGATTTTGATTGGGATGGGAAGCTTGAGCGTTTGGGTTGCGTGTAGGCTACAATAACAACCGTGATGTCTTTCTGTTGTAGAACCATCACCAGGCTCCGGAGCTAAGGCAAACCCAAGGAAAAAAACAGTGGGTAAGCGTGAATGTTTGTTCATCTGAAGTAGCGTAAATTCGTTTTAGATCAGGCTGCATTTCATTGGCCAGGAAAGGATCAGCAGTGGGTTCCCCCTGCCCAGAGGTCACTCACACTGTCCAGTTAAATTGTCCTTCCTTTCCGTTCCAGAGAAGGAAGATCCCTGTGTTGTCCCATCGGTCAATGTGGGTTTTGAAATGTTAGCAGTGAAACCAACTAAGAACTTGTGCCTGTTTCTCTTCTTTTTTTTTTTCTCTCTTCAAAAAAGTCACTAGTCCTCATTGTTTTAGGGGGGAAAAAATCCATTGCAGAGGAACTGGGAAAGTTTGCAAAGAGTTCTGGTTTAGCGAGCAGAAATTAGCCTCAGTGTAGGAACCACACACCACAGGGAAGAGGAGGTAAATCAACATTTGACTCCGGTTTGCTTGGTTCCTAGCCGTGCTTGTGTGCACCAATACCGTCCTTAGGGGCAGATTTTGGAGGGACCTTGGAGATCTTCTAGTCCAGCCCCCTGCTCAAATGGCTGTCCAGTCTCCTCTTGAAAATCTCCAGGGTTGGAGCACCTATAACGTCTGGTGGCAAGCTGTTCCACTGGTTAATTGCTCTCACTGTCAGGAAAGTTCTCCTTAGTTCTAGGTTGCTTCTCTCCTTGGTTAGTTTCCATCCGTTGCTTCTTGTCCTGCCTTCAGCTGCTTTGGGGAATAGCTTGACCCCCCCTCTTCTTTGTGGCAGCCCCTCAAATATTGGAATACTCAAGAGTCAAGAGTCTTTGAATGTAATATAGCAACATAGTATAGACTTTCAACCTGTGTGCCTGTCGGGTGGGAGGGAAAATCCAGAATTTAATTCTGGGTTGTGTGAAAGAAAACACCCCATTATCTCCCGAGTCTCTTTGCCTTTAGTTGAGAGGGTGACCTCAAGAGAAAAATCAGTGCTCTGTATTCATTATATGTGTCACCTTATCATGCTTCCAGTCAAAAGGGTGGTGAATGAGGGTTTTTTGGGCAGCTGGGGTACAGATCCCCCGTTTTGTCTTTTTCCACTCCTTCAGTGGGGAATGAAGAGCAAATAAAATCAGAAAAGCTAAAACCCAATACATCAAATGGACTCACATTACTGAGTTTTAAAAGGGGTCTGGATTTGACTTGTCTGCCTGCAGAGATTTAAAACCACTCCAGGGAAGAGCCAAATGAAGCCAAATTTCCTGAGAAAGGGGGATTGTATTATTATTATTATTATTATTATTATTATTATTATTATTATTATTATTATGGTCCATCACACAGTCAGCCAGACCTTCAGACTGGATTTAGCATTTTTTGTCCACCCATCAAGTCTTTCCCAAGGACCCGTGATACTATTATTATTATTATTCACAAGGTCCCCAGTTTGCTCTCCTCCTTTCTGATTTTAATAATAATCTTTACAATAAGCAACCGGGAGAGTTATTTTCCCACTAATATCGTGAGAAAACTCTCTGTTGAAATGCAAAATATGGGGGCAACTTTGGCCTTGAAGTGTAAGAGCCGTTTTTAGCCTCACAAAAGCTTTGTTTCAATGGCATGGTAGAAAGTGGGGAGGGGGGTCTTCCTCTTTCCCTGTCTCCCCCCCCCACTACAGGGGACTCTGTTGCTTCTCCCCTCCCTTTCTGGGTTGTCAATGAGATCCTTTAAGGAAGGATGAAGAAGCAACACGCTTATCCTACCGTCTGTCCATTAATCAGCAGTGAAGTTCTGGAAACCTCTCAAATTGCAAATTGCGGGGTTTTTTGAACTCGCCTCTTATCGGAAATGCGTGGACTTTGTTGCCACAGCCGTTAAATGAATCACGGCCGTTTTTAAGTCGGTAACACGGTTGTGAAGTGTTTCAGGTCGCAAAAAGGGGATCGCATGAACCATCATAAAAACGAGTCAGTTGCCAAGGGTCTAAAACTTCGCTCACGTTGACCCCGGGGAGGCTGCAACGGCCGTGAGTGCGAAAAGGGCTCATGTGGCAACTTTGAACGGTCGCTAAAGCAAATCGTTGTCAGTTGGGGACTAGCTGGCCGATGATCCACCGCCTGCCTCTCTTCCCAGATCGCGACTGCTCCGTCTCCCTCCTGCGGCTTCACTCCAGGGACGCCGCCGGCCGCCTGCACCCAAGCCCGGACACCCTTGCGCCCCCTTGCCCGCTAGGCAGCTCGACCGACCGCTGCCCCAAAGACTGTGGGGCGGTTCCGGGAGCGGGCCGACGGGCGGCCCCTGCCGGCAAGGAGGCCTCCACGCCCCTGGGGAAGGGCTTCAACCCCACCTGGCGCGCCCGCTTCCTGGTGGACTTCGACGCGGCCACCGGCCTCCTGGTGTGCATGGTGTGCGAGTACCCCTTGCGACGCATCTGCCTGGCCACCGTCAAGCAACACATCCTGCAGTGCCACGCCGAGACGCTGCAGATGCCGCGGGAGGTCCGACGCACCATCCTGGAAGTCTGGGAGAATCGGAGCCAGCCCTCCACCCAGGTGCCGAGGAAGTGAGACGGGCTGGCGGGTTCTCCCAAGCCGCGAGAAAGGGTTAAAAGAGACCAAATTCTGGACCAGGCAGGCCTAGGGGGCGGAGCTTGAGGGAAGGAGGCTCCACCCCTCCTCAGAAGCCCCGCCCCAAGGCTCTATACACTCACATCTCCCATGCTGGAGAAAAGAGCGGATTCTGAGCTGGCCCTGCCGCCGTTTTTCCATTTTAAGACTCTGAATTCTGCTTTTTTTTTTTTTTCTTTTTTTTTTTTTAAAAAGAATTTTTTTTTAATTTCTTTTGGTTTTCAACTTTGCTTTTCAGTTCTAAGCAAGAAGCAGCTCTGATTTCTCTCTGGCCCCAGCCTGTTCCCTGCCTCTTTTTTTTTTTCTCTCTCTCTCTCTCTCTCACCAATAAAATTCCACACCGCAGCAGAGAAGGGAAACGGAGAATGAAGCCACCGCTAAATCAAATGGGATGGGAGACTTTGCCGCTGCTTCCCCTTTATTCAGGAGCAGTTTATTTTTTAAAAAGAAAGAAGAAGAAAAAAGAAAAACTCGGGGGGGGGGAAATCTTTTTTTGAGTTGCAGTTGACGTCTGTCCCCACCCAAAAAAAAAGTTGCAGGGAGAAATAAGACAGGCTGATTGCTAGGACTGCCGTTTTGCAGCCAGATCTTTTCGTCGCCAGCGCTGCGTTTCTGCTATTAATTGGACCTCATCCTTTGGCTTCCTGATTTAACCAGAGGATAGAAAATGTGAGTCTGGGCCTTCAAACCGATTCGTAAGCCACAGGGAGCAGTAAATCATGTTTTATGTTCTACAGGCAGCTTTTTTTTTATTTTATTTTTTATAAACGTCTCCTGTCTATGTACCTTTTGAGTTCTGTGTTCCGATCACCACTTCGCTTGTACTCCTGCAGGAGAAAAAAAAAAGGGGGGGGATTTCTCTTTTGTTACCATTCTTGAGCAGAGAAAGGTAGCCGGATCCAAAAACTTTGTGCTGTGCTATCCCCTCTTTTGCTTTTATGGTTTCGCATCTGGCCCACAATGCTGGCTTTGAACACCCTGGCTTTGAAAACAAGCATGTGAAGAAGCAGTCATCTCTGTGTGTGCCTTGATTCTCCAGGTGTCAGGCAGCAGTTCAACAGGTGCAAGCAGGAGTGCCCAGTAAGTCCTTGGTTTAGAAAAAAAAAAGCACTCATTCCTTTATTGAGGAAGTGGATGGATGTTAATTGCTGTAGACGAAAGCAGGTTTATAGAACTGAGTTGATTCTTAAAGGTAGAAGTGTCCTCTCTTATTCCGGGAAAAGGGTCATTAGTGCTGCTAATTACAATAAAACCACTTAAAATCTGTTTTTTTCCCACCTTTTGGATTGCCTGCAGTTTCAGAAATCACCAGGTGGTGGCGCCTTTGACTGGTTAAAAAGGGCCAGTGAGAGAAGGAGGTGCAAGTCCTAGAGCAGACTCCTCTGCATAATTTCAACTCTCAGTATATTTGATCCAGCCAGCAAAAAAACAGCAGCACCTCCAAAAACACAGATGGGGCACCTATGCTGCAAGACACACGTTTTCCTGTCTGCATTGCCATGCACCCCACATAAAACTGGAAATAGCAATTCACCTACAGCAAATTAAATCACACACACACACACACACCCAAAGCCTTGTCAAATATTGGACGCTGCCAATTGATGGAGCAGAAGTCAGCATTAAGCTTCTGTGAATATTGTTGATCGAACCCACTCTTGTTTCCTGTCCAGAGATGCTTTAATGGAGGCAATTGAGTTAAACTGAATCTTTTCGGGGGGGGGTAAAGCCCTCCCCTCTCCCGCCCCGCCCTCCCCCTTCAAAAGAGACTCTCATTACAAAAGCAGAAATCACATTTAATAAATTAAGAGAGGCCTTTACAGTCGGGCCCAATAAATAACGAAAGCAAGGTTCGGAGAGAAACAGGCAGAAGGAGAAATGGGAACAGCAAGAGGCAATAGTTTTTTAAGTACAAAAAAGTCTAAAAAGAGAGACACGGAGGGAGAATTTGCACTCGCTACCCACCACCATCACAACTGCTACGTGGGAGAAGGTGCCGAGGGTGCTTTACAGCTGCAAAGTTGCTCGGGCCAGGGATCGTTGAAGCAAAGCCAGGAGCACACAAAAGTTTTATGGAGGCAGGTGTGTGTACACACATGCATAATACAAACCAGCCATAAGCTTTGCATTGGACACCGTGTGCATTTGAAGGTGGGGTGGGGGGGGTTTTAATTGTTGTTTTTTTTAGTTGTCTTTTCAGAAACAATCCGTGTTTCCAAATTTAGCCGCCTTTTGTCACGTTGCCCCCTTTTAAAAAAAAAAACCCCAAAAAGGCTTTCAAAATATTTAGAGAAAAGAAATGTCAATTTTGTTTGCCAAAAAAAAGGCTTGCAAACATGGTTTTGATGGCATTCTGGAGAGCCAGACTTTGGAAACACAGCAGTTCACGGATTCTGAAACCCGTGTCTTTACCTTAACTGGGATTTAAACCCCTAAATCTATTCGATTTCTCTCCTTTTTTTTGCCAAAGCCCTCCCATTTGTTTCCATAGCCCGGTGTGCTGAAAAAAAATGGTTTCGCACGCCGACTTTCGCCGAAGCTTCGGCAGCAAAGGTGAGCTTGACCCCAACCCCAGTCTCATCATAACATTTTCCCCATGACAGGGGGTCCTTGAGTTACGACCGCAATGGTGCCTATTTCTGTCGCTAAGAGAGTTTTTGCCCTACTTTACTTTTTTTTCTTTTGCTACAGTTAAGTGAGTCATACAGTCGCAAAGCACCTTACTTGGCCCAGCCCCTCAATTCTGGTTTTACGGTTGTAAAGGTGAAAAAGCAATCGCAAGTCGCTTTTTTCCGTCGTAGTCACTAAACGGTTGTAAGTCGAGGACCCCCCGGTGCACCATCCTGGGAATTTCAGACGGTCTCTAAAAAACTTGCCGCTGGCGGTAGTCAGAATTAAAAGAGATCAAGACTTTTCCAACAAGAAAGGAACGATGCAAAACAAAAAAAGAAAAATAAACACATCACCCTAAGACACTTTTTCAAAGAGAGACAAATATGGAAACTACAAAGATTTTTTTTTTATCACAGTTGTGTGGCATTTCCCCCCCACTTTTGGCATGGTGAACGAGCGGAGGAAACGGAGGACCTGCCTGCTACCCACTCCTCATTGCATTTCTCCCCCTCCCCAATCTTTTAAAGTCGCATTTCTCCCTCCCCCCACCCCCCATTTATGCTCGCTTGGCAGGTTGTTGCTGGTGATGGGTTGGGGAAAAAAACGAGACTTGGAAGACCGTTGAAAACCACAGCAAGGTCTTTGCGCTCCCCACTTTTAGGGTGTGGGGGGCACGGGGGCTTTAAGGTGAGCCCCCCCCCCGATAAAAATACATGTTTATATATTGCATTTGAAGTCAGAAGGGCGATGCCTCTATAACCGGTGGGCAAGTTTACCACCTGTGGACTTCAACTCCCAGAATTCCTCAGCCTGGCTGGCTCAGGGATTCTGGAAGTTGAAGTCCACAGGTCGTAAAGTTGCTCTATAAGATAGCGGCCTCTATTGTCACTGGCTGTTGAGAATGATGGGAATGGTAGTCTTCCCCCCCCCCAAAAAGCAGGAAGCTGCAGCATCCTGTCCACCCCCTTTTTGTTTTTCTAAATTAAACATCCCTTTCTTTTTTTTTAACAGTGCTTTGTTTTCGGAGAGACCCTCCCAAGATGGGGAGGTGGGCTGCTCTAGCTGGGCTCAGAGAGAGAGTGGGGCTCCTGTTCCTCATAGCTCCCCCCTACTCACATTTCAAATCCTCAGTCCACGTAGGTTTTGGATCTGCTCCTGGAGGGGGGAGGGGGGCAATGTAACTGCCACCTGTGGCTTTTTAAAGCCACTGCCTCTATTTTTTTTTCCCCAGGAAAAAAGCTGCTTTAGAAAGCCTGCCGCGATTGGCCGTCTCCGAACCGCTCCGAAACCCCGTTTTGCAATCGGTTCTGATGTGCTGCACGATCCTCGTAACATTAGGGGGAGCCAAGAGACAGGAGCAGAAATGGGGGGGGGGGGGTAAGAGAAAGAGAGAGACCTCACTGCCCCCCTTAAGTGGGGGGGAGAAAAGGATGGATCTCCTGCCCCAGTTTGTAGCAAAGTTTTTAAGTCTGCCGTACCCAGTTTGGGGGATGCATTCTACCCTCACCCCACCCCATTTTAAACCCCCCACCACCGCCAAACCCTTCCTCTTCCTTATAGATGCACAAACACACAAAACAGTTGGCAAATGCACAAGGAATCGGGGGTATACCGCGGTCCACAGTATAGCGGAAGTAAACTGGTGCTTTTCTTTAAAAAAAAAAAAAGGCAGTGGTAAGGAATAGCTCCCCCTAATTTATACACATACGCCCCCCACACACCCAATAAATTAACCTGGCACACAACAGCCCCCACCCCAGTCACTCGCCATTCCCTTCCCACCCTGATGCCAAAGTAGACCAGCTTGGAAAAGTCACGGCGGGCAGTTGAAACCACAGCAGCCACTACATTTGTGCCACCCAGACCCACAAAACCAGCCTTGTGCGTGAAGACACAGCGTCGAGGATTGCTGTGCAAAGGCAGGCAGAGATTGGAACTGCCTGGGGGGGGGAGCTTCGGCTGTCTGGGGGCGCACCCTCCTGCTGCCCCACCCCACCCCTTATTGCACGCCCTCCCCGCCCCCCGTTTTCCTAGCCCTGAGAGTTGACGGAGATCACCCGGTGGTGCTCCATCCCAGTTCACACCTCCGTCTCCACGCCGGCCAGCTTGGGGGTGAGGATGCGAGGCGTGACGCCGGCGTTGAGGTCCGTTTCGAACTGCAGAAGTTGCCCCATGAAGTTGAGGTTGGGCGAGATGACGGGCCGGCGGCCCTTGACGTACTTGTAGGCGTCGCCCATGGTCATCAAGGTGTGCTTCATCAGGTAGGCGATGACGATGGTGGCCGAACGGGAGACGCCGGCCTGGCAGTGGATGAGGACTCCCTTTCCACTCTGGTGGGCCTCCTCTGGAGTTGGGGAGAGAAAACAGCCGCGTCAGGGACTGCAAGGTCCACATCCGTGGCATGCAGAACTTGTGAAGGACATTGGAACAGGAGGGTGCCTAATTTCAACAAAGGGGTCCAAGACAGGATGTGATGGTGGCCATTAGCTTGGAAGACGGAGGGAGGGAGGGAGGGAGAGAAAGAGGAAAATGCCAGGGCCAGCAGACATGAATGCTCAATGGAGCCTCTCGGTTCAGGAGCAGTCTACCTTAAAAGGCATACTATCTCCCATTATGTCGAAAGTAAACGGCACGCTCCTTCTAAGCCACGTTTGCCTATGGAGAAGCCTTCCCTGGAAAAAAAAGGGGGGGATATCCTTGTTTTTTATCTAAGGAGCCACCCCTGGAGCAGAGTTTAAACCGGTGGGGGGGGTGTCTTCAAACTTGGCCCTTTTATGACTCATGGATGTCAACTCCCAGAATTCCTGAACCAGCGTGGCTCAGCATGGAAACCTCTCCCTTTCCCCTCAGCATGGCTGGCTCAGGAATTCTAGGAGTTGAAGTCCACCAGTCATGAAGGGGCCATAGTTCCCCCATGCTGGCTCAGGAATTCTGGGAGTTGAAGTCCATGAGTCATAAAAGGGCTAAGTTTGAAGACCCCTCCTTGTGGACTTCAACTCCCAGAATTCCTGAGCCAGCACGGCTCAGCTTGGAAACCTCTCCCTTTCCCCTCAGCATGGCTGGCTCAGGAATTCTGGAAGTTGAAGTCCACCAGTCATAAAGGAGGCCATAGTTTCCCCCATGCTGGCTCAGGAATTCTGGGAGTTGAAGTCCACCAGTCCTAAAAGAGCCAAAGTTGCCTACCCCTGGTCTAGGGGAGCGTTTTATCCAAACTTGGCCACTTTTAAGACTTGTGGACTTCAACTCCCAGAATTCCCCAGCCAGCATTTTCAACTTTATGACGGTCTTGCTTAATGACAGAGTTGCTGGCCCACGTACGGGCTCCCCGGCCCGGGGTCAAGCTTAAGCACGTACCGATGAACTCAAACGCCTCCTCAAAATACTGCCGCAGGTCCTGACGGTTGTTGTCGGTGGCAGGCAAGCGCTTGTAACGGAGGCGCCCGCTGTCGGCGTGGTAGAGAGGCAGGTGGGTCGTGACGTTGAGGACGTGGCCCACGTTGAGGTGGAGCAACTTCTCCAAGTTCTGGGCGTCCCTCTCGTCGCCCAGGAAGAGGAACGGGAGGATGCGGCTCAGCTCGGCGTTCTCCAAATCGGGGGTGAGCGGGGAACCCACTTCGTCCGAGATCTCTGGGGCATCTGACCCGATCGGAGTGCCTGCAGACAAAACACAACAGGTGAGGGTGGCATTCCTGCCCGTGGGGCACAATGGAGACGTGGCATTAGAACAAGAAGGTTTTGCGTGGCACAATGGGAGGGGGGGAGCTGGTATAGGGTTTCCTGCCTGAGCAGGGGGTTGGACTAGATGACCTCCAAGGTCCCTTTTATTTTTTATCATCATCATCATCATCATCATCATCATCATCATTATTATTATTATTATTATTATCCCCTCTGCCTTTCCAATCCTGCTAGGTAAGACCAGGGGTCTCCAAACGTGGCCCCTTTAAGACTTGTGTGGACTTCAACTCCCAGAATTCCCCAGCCAGCCAAGCTAGTTCGTTGTGCATGTTCTTACTTAGAATGACCACCAGGAGGCAGCCTGGGATTATATTATAGGACAAAACCGGTCACCTACTGCCTCCTAGTGGTCATTTACCAACTGCCACTGAGAGCAGCAACACATAAAGCTAAAAATGCTGGCTGGGGAATTCTGGGAGTTGGAATCCACAAGTCTTAAAAGTGGTCCAAGTTTGGAGACCCCTGGATAAAATGCCCCCCCTCCCCAGATTGGAAACAGGGGACAAGGATGAAAGATGCTTTGCCCGTCGTGTCAGGCTATGAGCAGAACAAGCTTCATCCTGGTTCAGTCACAGCATCCAAGTAGGATCGGGATGGCAAGGCACGCTGGGAACTGTAGTTGGGTATGCTGGGATATGCCACTTTTTTTTTCCAGGGAAGGCTTCTCCATAGGCAAAAGGGGCTTAGAAGGAGCGTGCTGTTTACTCTCCACGTGATGAGAGAGAGATGCATTTTAAGGTACACTGCTCCTGAACCCAGAGGCTCTATTTAGCATTCATGTCTGCTGGCCCTGGCATTTTCCTCTTTCCCTCCCTCCCTCCAAGCTAACGGCCACCATCGCATCCTGTCTTGGACCCCTTTGTTTAAATTAGGCACCCTCCTTTTCCCAACCTCCAGCTTTCCCCTTACCTCTCTTCCCAAGTCCTTGCTCATCTCTGTGGACCAGATCCAGGACAAGGTGCAGGTTCTGCGTAGGCTGGGCTTTGGGCGGCTTGGGGGGGCTAGCTGGTGGAGATTCCGGGACCCCCCTGCAGCCAGACCCTTCCTTGGACCACAAGCACTGCAGCGAGGAGTCCCGGCCGTCACAGGTACCCCGGGAAGAAAGGAAATCTAGCACAGCCAGTTTCCCTTGCTGGAACCGCCGCCGTCCCGGCGCGTCGGCGACCCCAAAGCGCATGGCGCCCTGCAGCTGAGCCTTGGTGAACTCCACCAGGTTGCGGCAGTCCAGGATCAAGGGGGAGGTCTGCGGCTGGCCCCACGGGGGCTGCGAGGCTGGTACGGGCGACTTGCTCGTTTTCTTGGCCAGCTCATCCGGCCAGATGGGACGGACCGTGTAGTCGTCGCCCTCCTCTTCGTCCCCGCCGTAGCAGCTGTTGGCCGGCGAGGACCCCACCTGGGGGTCGTAGGCCACGATGGGGTCGCTGCTGCAGAAGCTGCAGGAGGAGCTGGCCGACTTGACCGAGAGGTTGCAGGCCAGACACGCTAGGGAGCGCAGGGCGACCGGAGCGCAGGAGAAGCAGCCCAGCTTCTTCATGGACTGCGGGCTGCAGCTGGGGCAGCTCAGAGAACGCAGGCTGGATCGGCTGGAGAAGCAGGCCAGGGAGCGCAGGCCGGACTTGGCTCCGGCCTCCTCGCAGCGCAGCATCCGCCAGCACCCCCAGCAGCCGCATTTCAAGGGGTTCATGGTGGTGGCGGGGCTGGAGAGCGACGAGCTGGGGGACGCATCCCCCGAAGGCTTGGCGTTCTCCTTGAGACCCCTCTTCTTGAGTTTGGCCTGGGGCAGGAGCGCCTTCAGCTGGGGGGCCAGTGCCCCTTTCTTCTCGCCCGGCTTAGGGTCCGGCGGCAGGGCCAGGCCACCCTCGGACCCTCGTCCCTGAGGCTTGAGGTTGAGCGGGTGAGAATGGCCAGGGAGAAGGACGCTGCTCCGGCGGACCGCTTCGCAGGGGCCCTGGGCGCCCGCTCGGCAGGCGGCGGGCGGGGACAGTGGCTTCTCCCCGCCACTGCTGTGGGTGACGAAGCCATGGCTGAGACGCAGAGCTAAAGTCTTGGGTCTCTGCAGGACGCCCATCCGCTCTTCCAGCGGCGAGGGTGGCATTGGGAAAGTTGAGCTGCGGAGAAGGGGAGAGGTCAAGCGGAGATGGACGAGAATGCTCTCTCCAAAACCCAGCCACTTTGAAGTCCACTTTCTGGACTTCAACTCCCAGAATCCCCCAGCCAGAGGCTTGCAAATTTACCCATCGAAATTGAATGCCATCCAGGAGAGGCAACAGCACAAAATTCAGAAATCAGCCGCCTGGACAGGTTTCAAACTGGTTTGCAAGCTGGCTGGGGAATTCTGGGGGTTGAAGTCCACCCATCTTAAAGCAGGCTGGCTGGGGAATTCTGGGAGTTGAAGTCCACCCATCCTAAAACATGCTGGCTGGGGAATTCTGGGGGTTGAAGCCCCATCTTAAAACATGATAGCTGGGGAATTCTGGGGGTTGAAGTCCACCCATCTTAAAGCAGGCTGGCTAGGGAATTCTGGGAGCTGAAGTCCACAATTCTTAAAGAAAAAGGGAGGGAGGGAGGGAGGAAGGTCATCCATTCCGGTTATTCTTTCAAACCCTGAAGTCTCCCAGCCCTCTTATTTATTTATGCCTCCCGCATGCCCTCACCCCAGAGCCGTAATCCAGTAACATTTTGATGTATTTAGGCGAACTTCTTTTTATGGCCCAGCTTTTTGGCAAGGCCTCCTGTCAGGTTTCCAGCTTTCTAAGTCTCCTCGGATCATGTTCTGTGTCACAGGTGCTTCTAGCCATGCAGCAACATCCCAGCAACTCAGGCGGAGGATCACATGTTTACAACCTAGCTCAGAGAATCTTATGCCCATTTCAGGAACCGAGAGACTGAGGCTGGGATGGAGAAGAATTTTTTTACAGCTGTTGGGGCCCAGCTGGATTTTGCACGGTTGCACGTCCTTTTAGTCTAAATTCCCAGGAAATCTTGAAATCTCCCACCTTGCAGAATTCAAACCAACCCTTTTCTTAAAACAATCGTCACGATGACCTTCCTGGGATTTGGATCATTTGTCACCCTTGACCCCCTCCCTTCCAGCGGAGAGAATTCTCCAGTGAAGACAGCATCTGCTTCACCCTCACCCTACACAAAACACAAACACACCTTAATTCAGATTGCAATCCGGAATTGCGCGCACAGATCTATCTTGCTTATAACCTCATGTTTACGAATCGCAGTTTCATCGGATTAATCCACAATCCTCTCCAACACAGTTGCACGCTCGAATCTACAATAAAGTTCCTGGGCATACTTGATTTTTGTGCCAACCCCACTAACGACCAAGCCTTGTCTTTTCACGCACACGCAACCAGCACGTAGCTCTGGGCTATTAATATATCCACAGGTGTGCAAATTCTCTTGGGGTGTCCTTGCCAGGACGTGCACACCTGAAGTCTGCTTCTGCAGCAGCCCCGTTCAAGTTCATGGGTCCCATCCCCATTCCTCAGCTCAGCCCTGAATCTCTGCAGCCTACCTCGCAGGGGTGTATGGTGCGGGGGGGGGCGGTTTGGAAAAAAAACCCAGCTCCTATTGCTTCAGGATTAGTTCACCGCTCCTATCTTGTAAAGCTGTGCACCACAAGGCAGTTTTCTTTGCCCACACTTTCTGGGCAGACTTCAGCACAGAGTTGTCGAATAACAGATTTTTTTAAAGAAATGCTTTGCTTACACAAACATGAACACACACACACACCTGTACACATATGCAGGCACCAGAGCTTACCTTTATGACCTGACCACAGCCCGCCGGGTCCCCCTAAGGCACCGTCTCTTCCTTTCACCCAGAGAAGTTGGACGGTGCCTCTAAAAATACCAGGCTGACTTCAGAGCCTGGCACGACAATGAGGACATTGGACTTCTTGGGTTTCACCCCAGGATGAGCTCACCGTTTGGCCCCGGACAGGCCGGGCAACTTTCTTGACGGGAGCAGGCAGGGCGGGCAAGGAGGAAGAGATGGGCAGGAGACCAGCCAGGGTGAAGAAAGAATTAAAGATGGGATGGGAAGCAGTCTCTTGGCAGGCCAGCGCTTCACGCCCTCAGCAGCTTGAATTGGGGTGGAGGACTTCAGCTCCCAGAATTCCCCAGCCAGCAGCTCCCTTAAAAAGAGGGGTGGACTTCAACTCCCAGAATTCCCCAGCTATTATGCTTTAAGATGTGTAGAATTCAGCTCCCAGAATTCCTCAGCCAGCATGCTTTAAGATGGGGCTTCAACTCCCAGAATTCCTCAGCCAGCATGCTTTAAGATGGGTGGACTTCAACTCCCAGGATTCCGCAGCCGGCATGCTTTGAGATGGGAGGACTTCAACTCCCAGAATTCCCCAGCTATCATGTTTTAAGATGGGGCTTCAACTCCCAGAATTCCCTAGCCAGCATGCTTTAAATTCCCAGAATGCTGGGAGTCAAAGTCCTCCCGTCTTAAAGTTGTCAAGTTTGAGAAAAACTGGCCTAGATCTCCAACCAGCAAGGCTGAAATATGGGTGGGTGATAGGAAGGGGGGCTCTCAGCCCCACGTGCCTCTTTGGGCAGTTCCCAGTCCCCGTGTTTGCCAGCGATGGGGGTCCGGCCACGGCAGCTGAGTGGAGGGCAGCACGGAGACAAAAGCCCTGGGGATCGCCAATCAGAGCTCGGGAATTGGCTTGTTAGAAACGGGCCCCCTTGTTTCTGTGGTTGTGCTCAGAGGAAGAACGGCCAGTCAAACATCTTCAACCTGCAAAGTGTATTAAGATGTAAGCGCGTTGCCTGTCGTAAGCCGGCTTGCCTCCAAGAAACCACAATGATGCAAAAACGCAGGCCCTCGTTGCAATGACCTCACCAGCGCCTGCCCAGATTGCAAACTCGATTCAGGAAATTGTGTACAGTGAGGTACAACACCACACAGGTTGTTCCAAATCGCCATGCAAAGGTAAGATATTAAGCATCTTGGCTGGGGGATTCTGGGAGTCGAAGTCCACCCACCTTAAAGCAGGCTGGCTGGGGGATTCTGGGAGCTGAAGTCCACCTCTCTTAAGCCTGCCAAAGTTGAAAAATACTACTATAGACTAGGCACACTAGACCCTAACCTGGGTGGTACAGAAAGGCACACATCTAATTGCGAGAAGTTTTTAAAGAAACCAGCTCGGTAGAAAAGAAAGAGTTCCTGCTTTGCATAGGCAAAACCTCAAGTTCAACTCCCAGAATCCCCAGGCAGAGCTTTGAAAATCTCTGATCTAAATCCTGGGAGACTTTGTAGCAAGTCAGCATCAACAATGCAATACCCATTAGGCAGGTGGAAAAACTGAGGCTGTGAAAACCTTGCTCGCCCGTGGATGGCACAATCCAGTGGCCTTTTGTTTTTGTGTTTTTTTTTTAAAAAAAATGTTCTCAGTTCAACAGCTTTGACCCAAACTCCTTGAGGTTTCTTTCTGCAAAAGCGGCATATAAATCTTTAAAAAAAAAACCCATAATCCCTAACAAAATTGCCGACCACCCTTGCATTATTCACCATGCTGGTCTCTCCCTTGTAAAACACCATCCACACAGCTACAAGACCCCTATAATGTCTCACACATCCAAGCCACTTTCTTTTTTCTGCATCGTTTTATTCTACAGTTGTCGCACAACTATTGAATTGTTAAAACAAAAAAAAAACAGAGAAGTGGGTCAGTTTCTATCTTGCCTTTGCACCCTGCGCTTTTGAAGAAGGGGGGGTGTCTTTAAACAGACTCTCCCCCCCCCACTCTTACACCCGATTAAAATTCCTGGGCTGAATTAAAATTTAATTTAAAAAAAAAAATAACCGTGTCAAAGTCAGCTCCCTGGGTCCCTTTGTTTTACCCATCCTCTTTCCTGACGCCGACCCCCTGCATGTGAATTGACACACGCAGCATACACACAACACACAGAGACACACACACACACCCCACAGACACCCCACCTCGCCTGCCCTACAGCACCCACCTTTGCAAGCAACCCTGTCTGGCATCATCGGCTTAAAAATAACTCATGAGTGGCGGTCATGAGGCTCCTGTTTTTAAAGGCTGGGGCTGGGACCTAGAATGCAAAACAGATCCCTTCTCCCCCCCCCCCCTCAGCTTCCCCAAATCCACTGAGCATCCCTCTCCCCCTCCCCCCGTCTCCCACGCACCGGGAAAGATGATCTGTCACAACACAGACCGACAGCCACCACAATTCACCCACTCGCGCATCGCTCCCCCCTCCCCAATTGCCAATCCTGCACCCCCTTCCCCACTTTTCTCTACCCGGGTATCTTTGCGGCCGTGGGGTGCAGCCCTGCAAGAGCCCCTCTGCACCCCCAAGCGGGGCACAGCCCCCCCCCTTCCATGCTCTTCCCCCCCCCCTTAGTGCTTAAAACACCCCGGGAGATGCAATTCGCCTTTTGCTCTCCAATGGGTCCCGCGTGGGTCAAGGGGCGGGTGGGGGGGGGCACTTTCCACCCTTAGGCACCTGGCTGCGCGCTTCCACCACACCACCCCCCCGTCCAGTTTCTCCCATGCACACAAACAACACAATTGTGTAAGCGCCAGGGTGGGCTTTCTCCTCCAAAATCGCCCCCCCTTTGCAAAGAGGCAAAGTGGGGAGGGGGGGTGTAAAGCAAGCATCTTCGTCCAGCCTCACCCCCCTCCCCTCTTTCCACGCAGCCCCCCCCCTCCCCAGGTGTTTTGCACTCACCTGCATCACATCCTCCAGCCGAAATGGGGAAGCGGGCGAGCGGGTCGCCTCCTGGACGCCGGGCTACCTGGCCAGCTACCTGGGCGCCGCACCTGTGCGGCTTTCCAAGGCGGGGATCCCGGGGTCCCCCCTGCTCCCCCTCCGCCTCCACCCCCCCGGCCGCCCCGGCTTGCTGTGAGGTTGTGTTTTGCTGTGTGTGTGTGTGTGTCTGTGTGCTTGTGTGTGTTTTTCTTTTTCTCCTGCTCGGGGCGGGCTGGGGAAAGCAGGGCGGGGGGGGAGGAGGAGGGAGCCGGGGAAGGCTGGCAGGGTGACCTCATCGTCCGCCAATCAGAAGGCGGCCCGGTTCTCCCGGGGAAGGTGACGTCACGGGGCG